TCAGCGCCCTAAATTTCACTTTTGGAAAGAAGCAAATTTTTCTGCTTTGGCGCTTGTATTTTATCCGGAATGGAATTCATAATTGTTGTAATATCATGTAGTATTTGTTTTGGGTTTACGGCTGGAATTGTTACCTTAGCTCATCGCTCTTAGGAGCCTCTTCGAGTGCTTTCTGCAATTCGTTCACTCGTTGCTGTAGATCATCGTTAGCGGACTGCAGCTGAAAAGCAAGTAAATGAAAGGAAGCTTTGTGAATGTTGCGCAGAGAAGGAAATAACAGCTACGAGAGTGATGATAGGACGACCAGTGAAACATATTCCAAAACTAACATTCTGAAGCTGAACTGGTTGGGCAATGACCTCAATATCAGATATTTGAGTCTTTAGCTGGCTTATTTCATTATTGAGGTTGTCAATTTGGACATCTTTATCTTTCAATGCATTCTCAAGACCACTCGCTCTATTGTTCGCATCACTTAACCACTGACGATGTTCACCAAGACTCCATTCTTTTTCGTCACGGATTCTATTCAAGTCATCGATGATTCGGTTCTTCTCATTGATCTCACTCACCAGGCGTTCGATTTCATTCTTCAGATGGCTGAAGCAGTATTGAGCATGACAATATTGCTTTTCTATGCACTTTTTGTGCAGGAATAAACAATGCGTGGGTCACTGAACCGTAGCTGAATATTTTTATGTTTCGGAAAACGAATAGCTCAAAAAATGATTCCTAGAGAGCCAATCTCCTTACTTCAGTTCGTCAGCCGATACAGCAGGCGCTACTTCTAGCGTCGTCTTCTTCAACTCGTCGATCTCTTTGTGAAGACCATCAATTTCATTATCTTTGTCCCGAAGTGCGTTCTCGAGACCGTTCGCTCTAAAATTAACATGAACAAGAATTATGGACACTTCGCCCTAGTGCACAAGAATAAAATTACTTTAGACGGAAGCCTATCGAAATGGTCGTCAAACCTGTTGTTTGCATCATCCAGCCATTGACGATGTTCTCCAAGTTTGGAGTCATTCTCATCCCGAATTCGGTTTAGATCATCGATTATACGGTTCTTTTCGTTCATTTCATTGTTTAGACGATCCACTTCACTTTTCAGGTGGCTAAATTGACATTTTGCTATCCTTATCGTTAGAGTTGAGAATGGAAATGGTTAATTTCTAGTGTTTTTTGAAGAATATAAGGTTGATCGAAACAAGAAGTTGCCAAGTGTTGAATTGTATGCCAATGAAAAGAAAATTTTTTGGAACTGTGTTGGATCTTAGCAATTCACATACTTCAGTTCATCGCTTTGTGATGATTCAGAGAGCGTGCGTTGAGTGTCAGCCAGTTTGCATTCGAGTCCTTTTATTGTTTCACGGAGCTGTAAATTCTTAACGATAATATTTTCAGTATCAGGTACGCCAACGTTAAATGTTCTGAGTATTACTAGTGAATAGAACCTTTTCAATGCTTTCAGCTCCTTCAGCAGGTTTCCTGAGCTCAGCAATTTGATTGTTCAAAATGTCGATTATTCTGTTCTTCTCATTCACTTCTGCCAATAATCCTCTGCTCCTTAAAGGATCACAATTATCTTGATCGAAATTGTATTAATAAGTTTGCTTTACTGATTGGTATCTTTGATAATGGTTAAAACTGCAATCTCGAGCTCCCTCGATTTAACGAATAGATGAGATCTACTAATACGTCACGCTAGCGATCCATGCAGCTAATTCATTGCACTTGTGGGAAATTTTTACTTTGGAAATGAAATATGAAGTCAAATAAATAGAACTGAATAATAGGCAAGTTCATGAAAATAAAGAGTGAGTAGGCAGCGCCAAGCTTTTGGTGAATTTTAAAATTCGGTTGTAAATACCTGTTTTTCTCATCATTCAGCCATTGCTTGTGTTCACCAAGTGACCATTCAGCATCATTTTTGAGTTGAATCGTCCTTTCCAGTTGCATGCCTTTATCGTTCAACTGCTGCTGCATATCGCCGATTGCTCGATGCAAACTGCTGAAATGCCAAGAAGGTTCCATTGATTTATTTCTAATAAGGATACGTTTTCGCTGTCAAATTTACATTTGCTCAAACTCAGTAGTGCTTCATGTTGCTGCATAATTTCATGTACTACTCTTCTTCTGATGTTAAAAGCAATCCCTATTTATTTTTAATCTCTTTCCTATCCCAGCGATAGGGTCTTGAATAGGCCGGCTAGTTAGTATTCGATTTGATCTTCGCTAGATGTCACAAACTGCGAATTTACAGTCTCTTCTTTGAAGTCAGGTGACTCACAAGACATCTTCAAAGTCTAATTGTAGCATGCCGTTTAGCTAAGTCATTCGAAGTTATTCAATGTAACGTTTACTTAAGTTTCCACATTATTGTAACTAAATAGTTTACAGAAACAATGAAACTAACTTGATTTCGTTGTCCTTGTTAGTTACGCCTCTCCTCACACGACTCAGTTGCTCTTCTTTTCCGCTTAGTTCAGTCTGAAGTTCTTTTTCGCGCTCCTACAAATTACCCCTATGAT